ATATATATTAAAAAAGCCTAGTGGTTGATATATCAAAAAGGAAAAGATACAGATAGGTTGTATGAGTGGGCCCAAAAAGACACTCTACTCACACGGTACACCACACAAAAAAAAGTAAAGATACATATAAAATCAAAAACAAAAACCACAAAAGCGTGCAAATAGTTTGGGACGACCCACTTTAGTTATGCCTCTGTCTCTAGTTCTAAGAAGGGAGTTAGCTAACAAATTGGTGAGTTGTGTACCATTACCCGAAAGTAACCAATGCATCATCCATTAAATTCCCGAGCACAAGTAGGTCTCCATTCTTCTTCTTCCTCATGGATGTGTAAACTTGTCATTCCTCTTCCGAAGACTGGCTCATCTGATTAATGTGTTGGTCAACATATTGTCGGGCATTTATAATTTGATGAAACCCTTGTGTCTGACTAACAGCAACAACTTGGTCGTTCGGATGGGGTGGTAGAACCGTAGTAAAAAGATGTCCCCAACCGTTGTAACCACAATAGGCATCCTTATACACTTGAGCTCTAGATTTCAAGTTACAATGGAGTCTGTGACTTTTGTCAACGATATGCTCAGGGGCAGTTAAATCAGACACCAATTCCTGTCTTGTGGTAATTTCCTCCGCAGATGGGGTAGATGTGTCCAAAGCAGTGGGGTTAGGCCAATCCTTATACACTTGAGCTCTAGATTTCAAGTTACAATGGAGTCTGTGACTTTTGTCAACGATATGCTCAGGGGCAGTTAAATCAGACACAAATTCCTGTCTTGTGGTAATTTCCTCCGCAGATGGGGTAGATGTGTCCAAAGCAGTGGGGTTAGGCCAATCCTTATACACTTGAGCTCTAGATTTCAAGTTACAATGGAGTCTGTGACTTTTGTCAACGATATGCTCAGGGGCAGTTAAATCAGACACCAATTCCTGTCTTGTGGTAATTTCCTCCACAGGTGGGGTAGATGTGTCCAAAGCAGTGGGGTTAGGCCAATCCTTATGCACTTGAACTCTAGATTTCAAGTTACAATGGAGTCTGTGGCATTTGTCAAGGGTATGCACAAACATATTACAGTGGGTACAATAAAAAGGTCTATGTTTTATGACAATTTGTTGCCAATATCTATTATGTGTTGTAAGCAGCCAAACTTCTATAATATCAGGTAAAGTGATAGTCTTTTCCACAAGTATTCTGGCAACATAATACTTGTGATAAAGGATATCACTTTATTTGATATTACAGAAGTCTGGTTGGGCACAACACATGATGGATATTAGCAACAAATTGTCATGGAACATAGAACTTTTTATTATACTCACTGTAAGTCGTTTATATATATATAATTCCCTCATTGAAAAACTTAATTAGAAATAAATATATAAGAAAGAAAATAAAAAAAAAAGAAAACAATATTTAGAAATTGAAGATTAACAACCCCTTTCCCAATTCTTGCAATTACAAGTTTTCAATGATCCCAACGAGACAAGATCTTTGCTTATTCCACATGTGTGATAATGCACAATCGACATAACCCACAAAATATTGGAATCTCATGAAAACGAGGTTGCATAACCCATCTTAGGCGCTCCAACATCATACTCCTTGACTCAGATATTTTTCACCCTCCTCTGAAGGCTTCTTAAATTAATATACCCCATCATATTAAAGGCATCACCTTATTGTGCCTGATGCTATGCCACTACAAAATCTATGCTTATGTCTATTCCATGCAACTTTAAAACACATGTCATTCTAAAAAATGCCTTGATACAATAAGTATCCATTCTTTTTTTACCACAATGAATTAAACATAGATGGGCATTCATGATACAATAAGTATCCATTCTTTTTTTACCACAATCAGAGCTGGAATTAAACATAGATGGGCATTCGCATGAACCAAACCCTGAGCCATCAAATATATAATTTACTTTTTCCACTTCTCGTACTTGATTGGGCGCATCCAATAAACAAATATGTATAAAGAAAACAACCCCAGAATAAAATCTATGACATGCTAAACCACTTATATTGGCAACCACCCAAAAGATAAATTTTCTACCATGGTATCTAACAACTCCTTCAACAAGGGCTGCCCCATTTGAAGTTATGACTTTTCAAATACACTATCTTCTAGGACAATCAATATAAATTATGTTGTGATCTCTCTTGGGTTCATCTTGAATCACTAACATATCTTCCTCATTAGCAAAAATTAGGAATCTTCTCTTACGTCATCAATCTCTCTTGCGTAACTGTTCATTTCATAAACTATTACCTTCTCAGTAAAAAAAATTTCCATTCCGCTTAGGTAAAGAGACACAATATGCTCAATACTATGATACTTGAGGCACTTTTTTGTTAGGAAAGTTTGGAAGTGTTAAAGTTCACTACTTTTTCTCCACCCTAAATTAATTTTTACTCAAGCAAGATCCGCTAGAATGCTCCACTATGTGTGCTTTTGTTATCTGATCTTTAGATTAAACTCTGCTTGTAAGGTGTGGTTGTCACCTAGTGATATAATTGATTTTTCATCTTCTAAGCTAGGGTCTGTACATCGAGTAGAGACATACAAATCATCTGCACCACATTCCAAAAAAATGACCTATAACTCGCTTTTGTGTGCTCATCTGTTTCCACCAACTCATATTTTAACATGAGTTGATCAAATTCAATTGTGTACTCAAGAATCTCTCTAATATATGTGGTGGAGTTTAATGAACATATCTTGCTAGTAATGCAAGGGAATGTATTTGCATTCCATCTCTGTTTTCATTTTAGACCAGGTTAACATTTTAATTTTTCTCTCATGTTGGTGTAGGCGCTTAAAATTTTTCGACCATAGAGACACTACTCTTTGATTTGTTGGCGGCTAGTTTTATCATTATTCCAGTTGGAATGACATTGTACTCAAAGATTTGTTCTACTAATTGGATTCATTCAATGAATTCGTCTAAATCCATGCAACCATCAAAATTTAATAAATCCATTTTCATTCCATTATTATGACTTTTTGTTTAATGTTCCATGCAAAATCACTTGGATATTAATTCTTCATCACTGCAAATTTTCTAGTGGAATAAATTCACTACACCTCTCGATATGCCGAGTTATGATTGTGACTAAGTGTCTCCTCTCAAAGGTGATAAATCTCTGTTTCAGTTTGAGGACATATCCTCCATAATAAATTCCTAGACATTAAGATGAGAGTTTCTCCTCAGCTGCATGACATCCTTTCTTCCCCAATAGGCTTCTGGCAGATGTAAGATTGCAAATCAAAATTAGTCGAATGCTTAGATATTGGTTGCAGTATCAAGGTGAAATTTTGGTGTATTTAGAACAGTTAAATTTTGAAAATTTTAGGTTTAGACTAAAAATTACGGTATGAATGACTGGGGTATTGAGTTGATCGATATTTTAACTTATATATGAAATTTTGGCTATGTTTAAGAACAACAAATTCCTAAAAATTTAAGATTTGCTGGACTGTGATTCTATGGAAGCAACTTTAGACTGGAAAACACACAAAAAATAATAAAAAAAATAACTGCCACAATGTTAGATTCATATTTGCAACAATAAAACAAATCAAACGTGATAATTGAAAAGGGTGGACTCAGTTTGCATTTCCCAATGTCAGAACGAATAGATCTCACATCCTAATATCCCAATTCACAACTTTTATGATTCCAGCACACTTTCTATTGCATATGACTAATTATTTATGTCCATCTTCAATCAAAAACATAACACACATGACAAATATGATGCAGAACGCAGATGGTGGAAAGTTAAACAGGCTTAGAGAGGAATGCGCATATCTTTCTATTTGTGAGCAGATATCATCATGAACTTATGGTTGGGGCCAGCAACATAGTTTTAACTGGAAGAAGCAAAATTTCATGACAAAAAACTCAATACAGCGTAAGCATTTATCTGATATTGCAAATGGGGAACACACAGAATCACAAGTCATGTCATTAAAAAATAGTCTGCACACTTTAAACAAGGATATGTTATTATGTATATATCTTTCTGCCCTTCTGGATTCCATTGGAGCTTATTATCAAGAAAACCATGTTTTCCAAGGCCTTCATCTTTTTTGGAAGTTTAAGCATTTGATTGCAACAGAAAACACGAGTGCAAAGATCACGCAGAAGCCGACGACCATGATTGCCGCAATACCTAAGAAATCATTTCTGAAACCAAAATAGTTTTCGAGAAAAACTTTAGCACTTATTGAACGAACTCCGTCTGCAAGTATCACGGGTTCCTCGATGTCCCCAAACTGTGAAGTGAGAAGGCCATATAAGCTCCATGATACTGGATTAGCCCAGTAATACCATCTCCACCATCCAGGAATCCTCTGTGAAAAGCATCCAAAATTTATGAAAGAAGCTTCGATAGCAAAAATGTTATCATGTCCAACGAGCATCTAAGAAAATACATACTAATTTGAAGGTTATTGAAATTTAAGATGCAGACGAGCCAATTTCATTCCATCACGGGCAAAGGTTAGCTTATGAATTTGGCTTTATCAAAGATTGCTAAAAAATCGAATTGGCTATTGGCCCAAATTGAAACGAACCAGCCATTAACAAGCAAAGCCTGGTTCATAATCAAACTGGCATTGAGCCAAGTATTGATTGGATAGAGCTAGCTCAAGATCATAATGGAATCTATATTCATCATACATTAAGAAAAACAATTAAGATTTGACTTAATTATGTATGCATCTATGGTTTGCATCTATGAACACATGAACATGCATTAGTGTAGCTATGCATGTAGACTAAGAATTTGTATCAGAAATTGAAAATTGATCAAAATCAGACCATGCTTTTCTTTTTTCGCTGAATGAGTTTAAGTGCAGTGAAAAAGTCTTTCTTGGCATTAATAAAAAATGAGACAAACCAACTGATGGCTAAATTTAACTCAGCTCAAGATCAAATCAAATAACTTTGAGCTAATCATAAGCAAGGGTTTAATTTGAGTAAAAGAATTTCATGTGCAGAGAGGCCACCCCAATTACTACAGGCAACATGGAGTCATCTGCTCTCCTTATTTACCTTCTTATTTTTCTTAATTTTTTAGAGTTTATTCTATACAATTTTGGTGATTATATCAGGGCATAAAGTTTATTATAAACTCATGAGCTTCATACAAAGAGTATACTAAAGCATTGCAAGCTTGTCTCAAATTTGAAACCTCTATCTCACAAATCAGTGAGTGCATGTAGTTTTGCACCCCTAGTCGTTTGATCACTTTGTCAGTCAGTATTTCTTCAACTTCTTTAACAAATGAAGTGATTACGATAGTAGACGCTCACTTGTGGAAATCCCTCTTAAAGGGTCCCTTAAAGGGTCCTCCATGTCTTCATGATAGGGCTTCAACATGCTTACACGAAAGACTGAATGTATCTTTAATTTTGGTGGAAGGTTAATTTTCTAAGAAACCTTTCCCACTTGTTTCATTGCCTCAAAAGGTCCTTCGTATCTTCCAATCAACCCTTTATGTACCTCTTGAAATGTTTTGAATTGTTGGGGTAGAAGTTTTACAAGGACTAGATCTCCTTTAAACTTGATATGCCTCCACTTTTTGTCTTCTCAATTCTTCATCCTCCTTGTAGCTTTGTGTAATGTTGCTTGAGCTAGCTCCCTTTGCTCATTCCCTTGGCAAACTTGAAGGTTGTTGGACTTTTTCCTTCATAGTTGGTTATAAGGGAGAGGGGAGTTGTGGGTTGCTTTCCCATGATTATCTTGTAAGGACTCTTGTTGGTGGCTTGGCTTGTTTGTAAATTGAAAGAGAATTGCACCACATCAAGCAATTTGGCCCAATTTTGTTGATTTGCGCTCACATAGTGACGCAAATATAGCTCTAAGAGGGCATTGATCTTCTCGGTTTGTCCACCACATTGAGGATGAAAGTTTGTAGAAAAGTTTAGATCTAACCCCAACATCTTAAATAGTTCGGTCCAAAATCTACCAGTGAAAGCGAGGATTACGATCACTGATAATGCTTTGTGGTATTCCCCAGAGCTTTACCATGTTGCACAGAAAGAGCTTTGCAGCTTCTTCGGCAGTACAGTCGGTGAGAGCAACAATGAATGTTGCATACTTGTTGAACCCATCCACCACGACTATGCTACTTCCAAATCCATCTGATTTTGGCAAGCTGGAGATGAAGTCCATAGAGACGCTCTCCCATGGTCTTCAAGGGATAGGTAGTAGTTCCAACAACCCCCCTGGTTGTTGAAGGACAACTTTGTCCTGTTGGCATACAAGACAACATATTCTTCTACCCCATTCTTCATCCCTGACCAATAATAATTTGTTTTTAGAAGTGCTGGGTTCGCTTCATACCTGGATGTCCTGCCCATAAAAAGTCATGACATTCTTTGATTAGCTCTTTTCTTAAGTTGCACCACCTTGATATGTAGATGCGTCGGCCTTTAATATATAGATGCCATCTTCATCTATCTAGAACTTTCCGGTTTTTCCTTCCTTCAGTAGAGCAATAATACTTTGGGCTTGTAGAACAGAGTTTAATCTTTCCTTGATTTTGCTTATGAGAGAGCTGGAGACTTGTGAAATGCTTGCAAGTTCTGCTTTTCGACTTAGTGTGTCTGCTACTACACTAGTGGTTTATACTTTAAGATACAATCAAATTTTGCCAAGAAATCTTGCCATCTTGCCTGCTTCAGACCGAATTTCTTCTGGGTCTGAAAGTAGCTGGTGGCAAAATTATCTGTCATGACCATGAATTCAGAGCCGAGTAGATAGTGTCTCCATACCCTAAGACAATTATGATAGCGTCATCTCCTTTTCCTGGACTATGTAGCGACACTCTGTCTCAATAAGTTTCTGACTTTCATAGGCAATTGGATGTTCGTCTTGCATGAGAGCTCTCTTTATAGCGAAGTCAGATGCATTAGTGTGCACTTCATATGCCTTAATATCTCTTCACTGATTGCCTTCTTGAAAACTTCAAATGCTTCATGATACCTGCTATTCCATTCCCATGACTTATTTTTTTTTAGTAGGTCCATCAACAGAGCAACTCTTGCAGAATAGCCCTTTATGAATCGTCGCTAGTAGTTTACAAGCCCCAGAAAGGATCTTAGCTCATATACCTTAGTAGGATGCTCCCAATCTTAGATGGCCTTGACCTTGCTTTCTTCCATCATAAGCTTTCCATCCTTTATCTTATGCCCTAAGAATATCACTTTTTTTTTGGCAAATGAGCATTTTTCTTTCTTGATGTATAACTTATTTCCTTTTAGCACTTTGAATACTTCTCGGAGATGTCTCAGGTGGTCTTGAAGTGTGTTGTTATGCACCACTATGCCATCCAGACAGGCAACAATAATGGTAGCCCGAAAGGCATAGTGTAGCAAGAACTATGTTCCTAACAATCCATACTAATGATTCCTTTTAGCTCTTTTATGGTAGGAATAGTTTGTTCATCAAGGTGCATAATGTAGCAAGAGCATTGGTTAGCCCGAAAGGCATAGGCGAAAATTCAAACGATCCATACTCGGTCACACAAGTGGTCTTCCGTTCATCCACTTCTGTTATCCTCACTTGATAATAATCTGATCGGAGATCCAATTTTGAGAAGTATGTTGCACTGACCAGTTGATCAAAAAAGTCGACGATGAGAGGAATTGGGTATTTGTTCCTAACAATAATTCTGTTTAAAGGCCGGTAGTCTATGAACATGCGTAGGGAACCATCTTTCCTTGTCTGAAATAGAACTAAGACACCATATGAGGCTTTAGATGGTCGGATGAATCCTGCCTCTGGCAACTCCAATTATTTGCGTAGCTCTAACAGCTCTAGAGGTGGCTCCAGCTCGATCTGGTGATCGATCTCCACTCTTGGTCGTAGTCGTTTAGTAATTCCGGTGATGAAACATCTTTAAACTCCTCAAATACTGCTACCACTTCCCTTGACATGTCTTCTTTGGGCTTCAATTCTTCATCAGAGTCATAAAGAATAGCCATGTAGTTCTCCTCTTGTCGGATGCCCTTCTTGAAATGAATGACCGATAGCATTTTGGTTTCTAGCTTCCTAGTCCATACTGTCAGTACTAGGCAAGTTTGGTTGCCCTCCATGAAGCACATGTTATTGACAAATGTTATTGAGAACGCTCTCACTTGATCCAAGAATTCTAGACCAACGACTAACTTGAAATCATTCATAGGAATGATGGAGAAATTCAGCGTACCTGAACAATCTCCGACACACCTTTGACTACTCCATGGATTGGCCTAGCTGCTGAGTTGACTATTTTGATTATGTCACTTCAAAACGATTGGCTTCAAAGGTATGATGGCTGGTAGATGTTGTTAGTGTCCTCTTGCATAGCAAAATATCTCCACGCATCTCCTCCAAACTAGCACGTACGTCATTCATCTTGTCTTCATAGTCCCTTCGTATCTCCTAGAACTCCCTCCATCAAGTCCTTCCACATCTTTGTCATTTGGTCCCTTAAGGGCTCCTCCAGTTGGAGCATCACGCCTATGATCGTCGAATGAATTGAGATGTCCTCCTCCTCGATTCCATTAACCTTTTAGCCAAGGTCCTCTATCTGGGTCTCCATGCCATTCATTGCCTCCTCCACCCGAGCAAGACGTGAATCAAAGCCGTGCATGATCTCCTTGGACCTCTCATGTGGTTTGGATGCAACTGGATCTCGTTGCTCCTGACGACCTTGCCCTTGTTGAGATGATTTCACAATAGTGACTTCCGACTTCATTATGTGCTATTTGATGTTTTATTGTCATACCTTCAAATCAAGGCCCTAATACCAACTATCACGGATTAACTTATCTCAAGTCACCAGTGCAGCTTTAGTACTCTTCATTGGCACTAATCAGCTAAACTCTCACAAAGCTTGGACTTGTAAGCAGAAAGCATTCTAGGAAGTAGATTAGGAAGAAGTATTGGAGAAATAAACACTTCACTAAGAAAGAGTAATTACAACACTTGAATGCTTGGAACCCTTGGATGGATTTAAATGAGGGGGAGAGATTTCCATTTACAGTCCTCTCTAAGTCTAAGAGAATCTTCTAGATTACATTAGAATAACCTAGTTTCTAGATAGTTCTACACCATTCTCTTACATACATAGCCCTAGATCTTTGGAGCTTTTCATTCTAATATTCTCTAGAAAGTGGTGGAGTCTTCTAGAGTTACTTGGATTGTGCTCCTCCATTTGGTCTTTTCTAGAATATTTCATCTCATGGTTGTCTTGCCAATTTCTTTGAAAGTGGCAGAGTGTGACAAAGTGTTCCAATTGATTTTATTTCTCACACAAAATGTTGATTATAATATGAATTTTACTTAATGATCTTCACATTTCAACCTCTAACAATTATATCATGATATGATAGGCAAAAATTATTACTTTAAGGAAATGCATGATGAGAAAAATGCAAAGAGCATATTTTATATGGGAAAAAATGCTTTCATATGTTGAAAGATGTAGTTAGATATTACAAGCTGGGGAGATTTGTACTTGAACAAAAACTAATTACATACAGCAAAAGGTTAAGCTGAACAAGGCAATTGAGATGAATGTGATTTTAGTGGTATACATATAGAAAATGCTCTTATTGGGCGTATCATACTATAAGGTGATGTATAAAATTCTCAAAAAAAAAAATAAAAAGAATAAAAAACTGCTAAATGATGGATTCATTGTTTCACCATTGAGAAAGTTACAAATGCATTTTTTAAATTATGCTCTTGATAATGCGATGCGTTACGATTTACATAAAATCATTAGCATGCATATATAAATTATTCTATGAATTACTATAATTTAGAAATAAAATTAACAACTGAATTGTTTAACTCACACAATAGTTAATACATCGAGGAAAGTCTCCATTATTTTTAACAGGTGAAAAAAAAAGTTCGTTTACAACAAAAGGATAACATCTAAAGATTAATTAGTGAGCATGTATATTAACTTGTATTTTGTAACAATGTACTTCAGAAATAAAGTTCATTTTGTGATAAAATTATAATTAAAATTGTATGTTTTGATTAGATGTTTTAACAATAGAAGATTGAACATTTGAATGATATTATGAATCTTCTTAAATTTTTGATTTGATCTTCTATTCTCATCTAGCCATTTACGGCTTTCGGGATAGATCATGACAAAGTCTCATATGAGATTATTGCGATGTAGTAGTTCTACATGGGGCATGAATCAAGCAATAAATTCCACAGAAGTGAAAATGGTGTTTCTTAATCAAATTTGCCCTTCTCGGTGGTTGTTGGCAACTACTATTGAAAATGCATTCCCGCTGCCACTATCATCAATAGTAGAAACACTAATACAAACAGGATGGCAAAAACATAATGTGGTACAAAAATCAAGCATATTTTAATTAAAATAAATATAACCAAAAAATGAATGCTAGCTAATATAATCTATAAAATTAAGAAAATTATACAATAACACTCATTAAATAAATATGAAATGAATTCATATAATAATAAATTTATTTCAATAACACATGAAGTAAATTATATTTAACATTATTAAATACCATAACCTCAATTAAAAAATATTTATATAATATTATATATTATTAATTTGAAGTTGAAAAAATGTATACTCACAAAAAAATTCAAAAACTAAAAAATAAAAAAAAATCTAAGCAAAATAAGAAAAATTGCATTAGTATTGAAAAGCTATTACTTTATTCAAGTAACATATTAAAAAAAAAAAAAAAGAACATATGGCTAGAGTTATTTATAAATCATATTTTAAATTAAAATTTATTATTTTGGGATGTGTATTATAATTGGATGAGTAGATTATGTGTTCGACATTTATCGAGGCTGGCTTGTGACAAAATATGTCCTGTACACATCCGACAAAATATGTTCCATTATTAGAGAGTCTAGATTAACACCATAAATTTTGCTTAAGCATTAAAGAATATATAAAAGTTAGGTAATATGCTTTATACCTTTCGTGTAATCATGAATCCACTGAAGAGATTCCACAGAGTATAGAATGGAGCAGCAATGATTGGTGCCACTAGATGACTAGGTGTGATTGCTATGGTCATCATGCCAAAAAATGTGAAGTACAACAAAGTGAAGTACATAAAGAACGAATACCAGAAAAATTTCAGCACTGTCCATTCAAATGATGCCATGCTATAAAATATGGTACCATAGATAAGTGTCTGTACAAGAACATAAGGAAACTCGATGGAAACCTGACCACAAAAAGAAGTTGGCTATTAATTAGCTCATATGAAGATTCACAAGCAATTTTAAGATTAAGAAATGGGTCAAACCTGGGCAAATGCAAAAGATAATGCAGCATACATTCCAGCTGCTCTTTCTCGGTATGAGACGAACCTTTCAATGGATACCACAGGCTGAACAGCAGTTGCATTAGTAATTCCAATAAACAGTACTGCAGCATACATAGATCCCATAGCATTGAAGATATCCTGCTGAGTTCCCCTGCATTTAGCGAAGATCATATGCTAGGCATTACCAAAAGAAAATTAAAACGTGATGATAGTATCTTAGCTAAATGAAACCATTCATAATACTCATGGTTGATTTAACTAAACTGAATCAAATAGGATGCTTTATTAACGCCATGTGACAGAATTCACAGATGGGCAGCAGAATAAAAATGGTAGGTGTCCATGTAAATACCTTTTTGAACCAAAACCCCAACAGATTGTACCAAACATCAATGAGATGATGATAGTGTAGAAGAATCGAACTGCAGTATACTGTGGGTTTCTCCAATAAGACAAATTCTGCTTCCAAAGGCAGGCAAGATACTGGGAAACAAATGGTTGTGAGTAATTTGTTGGGAAGTTCAACTCTTTAGTACCATCTTCAGGCTTGCTAAGATTTTCCACCAACTCCTTGTTTTGTCTAAAAGTTTAACAAAATTAGATAAAAAAAAGCTTGAAGGAAGGCACGATCTTTGAAAGACCATACATACTGGAATAGTTTCGAACTTCGATAATAGTCTGCAAAGTTCACGCCAAGATGATTTTCCATCAAAGGACTTGTTACTTCAAGCATCCAAGCTGCAGGGTTTTCACCATGCTTGATCTTAGGAAGTTCAGGTATTGCCTAGACAAAAAGTACCACTTCCCATGAGCACAACAAAAACAGCACTTCCGTCCAGAAATTTTTTAATGAATCAAGAAGATAATTTGCTTATTTGAAACTAGAAACTTAATGATACTTGAAAAACATACCTCGAAGAATTCAATTAGCTTACAAGAATCCGGGCCTAACAAACCAGCATATATAAGTTCCCCTCCACGCTTCATGAACAAAAGCTATGAAATAAAGACAGTAAGAATTTATATTATTACTACAATATAATATGCATCCTTTAGCAAATGCTTATAAATTCATAACTCCTTCAATAACGAGACATAAGAATACAAATGGAGTTGACCAACAAAACATGAGTAGGGTACATTTTGGTACAACAATGAAATACAAAACAAGTATTGGGGACTAAAATTTTAAAACTATAATAGTGGAAAAAGGAACTGTGAAATGCACAATTTATAATTATAAAGAAATACAAATCTTTGCAATTAACTATCAATTATGAAACAAAGCAAAGATGGAAAACCTCATCAAAAGATTCAAAAATATCTATGCTAGGCTGATGAATTGTGCACACAATTGTCCGCCCTGTATTTACAATATTCCGAACAGTTCTCATCACAATGGCCGCAGATCTGGCATCTAATCCTGATGTTGGTTCATCCATGAAAACGATGGAAGGATTTGCAACAAGTTCCACCGCAATTGTTAATCGTTTGCGCTGTTCTATTGACAAACCATTAATTCCTGGCAAACCAACAAGTGCACCTCTTAATGTGTTAAGCTCCACTAGTTCCATAATTTCTTCCACAAAGAGCTGCATAAAACCATTCTTGTTATTTATATTTAAAAGTCAATTCTGTAAAAGCAAACTACATTGCAAAGGATAAAATTTTACCTTTTGAGTCTCTTGGTCAACATGTGATGCTAACCGAAGCCATGCTGAGAATAAAAGTGACTCTACAATAGTCATGCAAGGAGAATGAACATCATTTTGTTCGCAATAGCCAGAGACCCTTGCGAAAGTATTCTGGTTTTTAGGATATCCAGAGATAGTTATATCTCCTTCTATGAGACCTCCAGTTTTCCTCCCAGCTAAAACATCCATGAGGGTGGTTTTACCAGCACCACTCACTCCAACAAGAGCCGTAAGGACTCCAGGCCTGAAAGCCCCAGTTACATTTACGAGCAACTGTAATCGATCTTCCAAAATGCCTTCTTGTCTCAGTTCCTGCTAGTAGTACTGTATAAGAATAAAGACATCTTAAATAGATCTTCTATTTGCATCCATAAGAAATACAGAGGTTTGGACCTACCACAGGTACGTCCACAAAATAATTTATATTGCTAAAGCACATGGTAAGGGGCTCAAAAGGTAAGACCATTCCTTTGTGTTCCTTGCCACCCATTTCTGCAGCACGAAGAAAGAAATATACCAATTGGGGTAAACAAAGAAGCATTTTAGGTTGGACAATAGAAAACACAACACCAGATATACTGCAGGTGGATCAACAAAAATTTACTAAATGAACCAGAATAAAATATAGTCAGGCTTTGCCAAATGGGATGGAAGAGTAGTTGCTACCCTCTCCCTGATAACTGAACTGGACGAGAAAAAAGTGGTGGGTGGTTTCCATCAACGAAACTGCTAGCCACATTTGCATTTTGAGAGTGTTTAGCAAACAAAATGAGGAAGCAGACAAGGTTAGATGAGCAAAGGGTGAGACTAAGTCATTCTTCTCTCTCTCTCTCCCTCTCTCTCTCTCTCTCCATACTTCCATTTATTTCTTGGATCTTCCTTCACCTTTTCCCTTTATTCATCGTTTTCCTGTTATTTTGGTTGACGACAGATCATCGGCCATTGGATCTTCGGCATTTTGAGGGCTTAGAGACCAAGTCATTGTGAGGAACTCATGAATTTAGTCAAATTTACGATAATTCTCTGTTTATAGAAGGAAAATCCAAAACCCTAAAACAAAAAAAGTTAGATGAAAACTTAAACACAATCTATTATCATCAATGAATAATAAAATAGTTCTTTTATGTATTTATACCCCTCAATAGTAGGCTTATGGATTAATTTCAAGGATTTTAAAATGAATTATGGTTTTAACAAATTCAACAAAAAATTTGGAGATTTCATCATGGCTTAAATCCTAAGAACTTACCTATGATTCAATGAATTAGGACCAATTCCATGACAGAGTTCGTTATTCTTTAAAATTTTCGTGAATTTAATTTTCATTACAACAACAACAAAGCCTTAATCCCACGACGTGGGGCCGAATACATGAATCCTTAATCTCCATAGCGTCCTATTTAGCGTCATATTTTCATTTAGTTCTAATAAATTAAGATAATTTTTTATACAATAAGCCCAAGTCTTCCTAGGTCTACCTTTGCCTTTCTTAACATAAGTCGAATCTAAAACATCTACTCTCCTGATCAGATCATCAGATGGTCGACGTTTAATGTGACCAAACCATCTAAGACGACTCTCTCTAATTTTGTCTGTCACTGGAGCTATACCATCCCTATCATGGATATATTCATTTCGCATTTTGTCTCTAAGTGAAAAGTCACTCATCGCTTAAACATTCTCATCTCAGCAACACTTAACTTAGTATTGTGCTTCTCTTTTAAAGGCCAACATTAGCGCCATAGAGCATTGCAGGTCTCACCATCATCTTATAAAATTTTCCTTTCAGTCTAAGCGGTACATTTCTATCACACAAAGTCTAACCAGGCTAGTAGGGCACCATTGCCTTCTTAAGTTGTTGGTGCTCCCGGCCCGACAGTTCGATCGACTTGTGGACAATCATATTTTATAAAAAAAAAAAAAGATATGATAAGAACAAATACGATGATACACTATTTTCTAAAGTATTTTAGCTACTAAAATTGACACTACTTTTCTTGTATGCATGAAGCCTATATGCATGCTAAAATATAAGTTTTAAATAACACAATTCAATTGTCCACTTCTTAATCGTCGGTATTGGGCTAAAGAGTGTTCTCTTAAGTTGGTATAGCATGACACATTTCTAGTTGAATGTTGAGTTCTATACATATAGGTGACCGATAGTTGCCTTCGGAGTCCCTCGAGAATACCTAATTCTGAGGCTAGCCCGACCCAAATGCTTACGACTTTCTTTCTTTCTTCAGGTTTTTACGTGTTGCCCAACAATTTTATCGAAATCTTTGTAAAGCATTTGTGATTTTCTCCGAATTTTCCTCGTGTTTTCGACAGTTTTCTTCGAGTTACTGTGGGTCCTCTGCCACTTTTTTTTAGTCTTTTCAGAAGCCGCCGACCCGTCAGGTATACAGGTTTCTTTTAAGTTTACATCGTTTACTTTTGCTACTGCATATACACATAGTTCATGCATGCAATATTAATGTTTATTGTTTATTGCGTTTCGTAGCATGTTTCCTTTTATAACTCATGTTGTTTTTACAGACTTGCAGGGGACTTAGGTTAGAGGCCAGTAGAACACCTAGTTTAGGAGGTACCCTGTAGCGAGCCACTGACCCAATAATTGTACATTTATACACACCACAACACTGAACTTATAATCCATCTGCTAAGAAGCTTAGAGTGGTCTTTCCAAGAAGCGGAGCATGGAAGCAAGCGGACGGAGGGCGCCGATCAAGACCACGACGACGAGGTGTAAGATGTCTCTTTAGAGTTAAGGTCAAATCGTAGGATAGTTGGGCAGTCGTCGGGGTTCTCCCTTGATCTGTGATATCCCCTACCTTTCACTCTGTTGACTCCTGAAAATAACAGTTACCCCCCCCCCCCCCCCCTTGATTGCCTCATATTTTATCCTTAAAAACTTAAACTTTATAATCTTGAAGGCAAAACCACTGATCTTAATCAAGAGTCTTTTTAAGTGATTTCAATTATTTAAAATGTAATTAACTATAGGGGTTTGACTCTATAGGGAACTTAAGAACCCAGCTTAAAATAAACCCTATTTAATCTCCTATATTAAATAGGGGAACTTGTCGGCTTATTAAAAAAGTTTCACGGACCAAACGGATATCACAAATCTTTTAGTTTAGGTGGCTAAGTCTGCCAACAAGTTGTATGCATATCCTTCGGGATAGTGTACTACTTGTGGTATCACGCTCGAACTCTTAAACTATCAAATATGGGAGGTCCGCTCGGTTTTACTTTTCAAAATTAAACATTATTTTCTAAAACTATAATTATACCCCATCTATCTAAATTAAATCCAAATTCAAATGAATCTTCGAAGGATAAAACAGGTGACCAGGAGGTTCACCACCTATTCCGAAGAACCATACAGCACACCACTGGCAATAGGAAAAAGATACAACACTCCAAAGAGCAAAAAATTAGAGATCGAACTATCGAAATACATAAACTCAAGTTAAAAATAAAAAAAATCAGAATACAACTTACATAAAGATCCCCTAATAGAAAATAAACTAATTAGAAATGAGAGAAATAGGAAAGAACAAGAAAGGAAAAAAAAATTGTTTATCCCTAGCATCTCTTCACCTTCCAGTCGCACCCACCAAATAGATAAGGGAAATTGAGGCTGGAATGTTGAAGCAAAGAGAAGAGAGAGCGTGAGATAATTATGTCGGAGGAAAAAAAGTAAACTGTTTAGTGACACTTTTTGACTTATAGGTGCAGGAGCGTTAGATTTTCCTTGCCTCCTCACCACTTTGATGTAGGTTGATTTCTAGTGAAACCAGTAAAGTTTTGTGCGAAGGATTTTTTCTCTTAACCTTTGTTTTCTGCTCTGTCATAACTATCATCTGTTTCCTTAAAATTAATAAATCTCATTACAACCATGTGGAGGCCATCTATATGTTGTTATAAAATGTTCAAACTAAACCTCACCTGCAAATGCATCTGATCGTAAATAAGATCTTAGCTCAACAATCATAGTCTCGCCATTCTTCTTGTCACCCTTCTCATGAAGTTCATCCTTGGGAACAACCACTTGTGGCCTTCCTAGAGCTTTTAAAATGAGAAAAAAAAAAGAAGTTCAGTGATCTGACTGGTATGAAAGAGAGCTGATAAGTCAAGAAAAAAGCTCACGGTTGAGGCAGGACAAGAAAAAACAGAATAAGATGTTGAGTATGACAGCATAGCCAACCAAGGCACAAGCACCGATCCAGAACCAATAACTTTCAGTAAACATGCCATGACTTTTCAGAATTATCTTCCCCAAAGATAGATTGTTGTTTCCCACCGTCTGCAAAAGCAAAACAGCAAATTAAAAAATTAAAAAAAAACTTCTTGCCATCACTAAATTCTAGATTTCTACATTTGCAAGTAAACTCACCCGCATTGCAACAAAACTATTGAAAAGTGCCAATCTGCATTAGTTAAGAATTTGTTTCCTTTCCTCAGAATATATTTCACTAATTGTATTTTTTCTATTAGATATTTCCTTCTTATGTTCTTTTCTTATTTTGGAGGGATTCCTATTTGATTTCCTTTCATTATTACATATATGTAGCAAGGTATAATGCATGAAAGTGAGTGAGTAATAAAATTCTTTTCAGAATTACAGCATGGTATCAGAGCTACAAACTTAATTTGTTTGAATGTCGACTCGAAGTGAAGTTGCTCGTACGCAGACACATGGTTGACGTCGTCTCCTACTTGAGCACAACCCTCGCTCGCCTCATCCATCGAATGAAATACTTATCTTATCCATTCGAATGGATTGCAAAACCATTCAATAGAATGCTCTGTCTGAATGACCCATTAAGTTTTGCAACCACTCACGAATCATCCTCTCTTATTTCTTCTTGAATCCAAATGAGACTTGTACACTAGTCGCCACTCAAGAAAATTCATCCTTGCCCTAGCCACCACTACATGTGTCGCCAGCCTGACCACCACTCACCGAGTAATGAATTTGTCCTCCCTCTAGTTCTTGTTCGCTTGTCCAGCTGAGCAGTCGAACCAAGGGTTCTTCCTCTAGTTTATGTTTTCTTGTCCAGTCAAGCAAAGTTAAACTAAGAGAACTCTTCTCGCTTTCATTCGAGCATCAAGCCTTCACCATTACGGCTTCACAACCTCATCATGGTCAAACACGACATGGCCTCACATCTTCTTCTTCAGAGGACTATCCATAAACTGCATGGCCAGAATGTTCCTCAATGAACACAGTCTACCTTCATGTATGTCTACAGATGAAGGAAAGATGGGAATCTTACAGGTGAAATTTTGGCTCCATAAATAATAAACTCTAAATATCAGGCATGGAAAACTGACGAACACTTGGTTACGTCATGGTAGATAAATTTCATTACCATGGAGATTGGAGAAAATTTTTCACTCTATAAGAATGTCAAGGATTTATGAAAACTTGCATGTGAGACCTACTCTGCAACTAAAAACTCCTCGAAATTATTTGAGATTGAGACCAAATTACATGATTTACGACAAGAGGAATTGAGTGTTAATATTTCAACACACACATTGTTAGCTGCAACTAGACACGTATAAGGATTATTCTTGGAAAAGCCTTGACGACTTTGCCTTGTATAAGAAAATTATTTAACAAAAGAGGACCATCGAATTCCTTCTTGGCCTCAATAAAGTCCTAAATGAAGTCAGGAGAGAATCATGAGAATTAAACCCCTTCCTACCAATCAGAAGGCATTTGCTGAAGTTTGAATGGAGGAAGGCAAAAATAAGTTAATGTGACTGACAATTATATCACACCATCAGCCTTCACAACTGCTCTCAGAATAATAAAACCCAGAAACAATCATGGTGGTGCAATCATTGTAAGAAATCTGATCACGTGAAGGAAACATGTTAGAAATTACATGTAAAACCTACAGATTGGAAGTCATCCAATAGAAGACATGATATGGAAAATCGTACAAATATAATTGCCACAACCAACAGTAATGTAGAATCCAATCCATTCACCAAAGAGCAAATTGAGGCATTGTAGAAAATGTTAGGTCATGGTTACAGTTATAGATCAGTAACATAATCTTCTACTGAGCAAATGATCGGTGTGTTGGCACACCAAGGTATCTTACCCCATGCTCTTATTGGTCAAAACAAAAATACTAAAACCTTGGATAGTTGACTCCGGAACTTCATAGAATATATGACAGGTGATATCAATGTCTTGAAGAATTACAACCTATGCACCAGTCACTCTGCAATTCGAACAACAGACAGTTCATTCTCTCTAGTAACAAGAAATGAATTAATCGAATTGACAAAGGACCATCATCTCTACTTTATTTTGCATATTCTACTCTCAATCAACAAATTTACTCGTGACTTAAAATGTGTAATTAAATTTTATTTTAATTGTTTGATATTTTTAGGGACTGGATTCGAAGAAGGTAATTAGCAATGATGAGATGCATGATGACCCATATCTGCTAAAAAAATAATCTCATTGATAGATAAGTTCATCAGTCAAGTTACATTTCTAAGTCTACTACAACATCTGTTAATCTAGTTTTTAATTCCAAGATTGTTTTAGTTGAAGTCAAGTTATGTTAAGGCATTATCGCTTTGGTCATCTAAATTTTGCTTATATTGAAAAAATATTTTCACATCAATTTATCAAAAAAAATCATTCTAATCAATCTGAAACGTGTCAACTCGCAAAGCATGTCAAACAAGTATATTATAAACTACAATACAAATTATCACGTCCTTTTGTTGTAATTTACAGTGATATCTAGGGACCTTTCCAAGTAACAAATAAATAAATAAATAAATAAATAAATGGGGTACAATGGTTTATATCAATCATAGATGATCATAATAAATTGACTTGGGACATTCCTTAGGAAAGAAAAATCTAAAACCGCCACCATATTTCAATCCTTTCACTCCATGAAATTTACTCAATTCCAAAATAAAATTCAAGTTCTTAAAATTGATAATATTAAAGAATATTTTTATTTCATTCTTGCTCCTTGTCTTTCCAAGCATAGTATCATCCATATAAGTTCTTGTGTGGACTCCTCAACAAAATGAGGACGTTAAAGCGAAAAAACTGGCATTTACTTGAAGTGGTCTGTGTCATTATGATCTTTAATCATGTGTCTAAACAATTTTGGGAAGAAACCATACTCACAACTGCATATCTTATAAATAGAATATTTAATCATGTCCTAGGATTCAAAATTCCTAGTAAAGTTCTCATGAAATTTTATCCTCATATCCACTATTTTTCTTCTAATTTACTATTGAAAGTCTTTGGGTGTTCAGCATTTGTTCACATCCACCAATAACACCACACTAAATTTGATCTCAAATTTCTCAGGTGCATCTTCCTCGGTTACTCGTCCAACTAAAAAGGATATAAATTTTACTTTCCAATTACTAAAAAAATATATAACTCCATTGATGTCACCCTTTTTTTAGAATAAAATTTATTTTCCCAAGTTTGAAATTCAGGGGAGAATTCAAGAGCATTAAAGTTGGGACCTTCTCCAAGAGACTAAAACATAATCAAATCTAATCACTTAAACAATTGAACCAAATCCTACCACTCAACCGACTCCGATTGAAGATCCAAACTCAATTATTGAAATTGTGTGGATTGTCATTACTCCACCTCAACGTGACACTAGTGATAAAAAAATTCATGTCGATACGAGAAAAAAATGACCACTGAGCATATAGAGCACATCATGCAGATGAGGAACTATCAAGAATCTTAATCAAGTACTCCTCCATCTCATAATCATAATGGTATGGATTCATTATTTCATGATCAAAGGTGCACCGATCATCAACTTGAAAGATATGTAGCTTATGGAAAATTGTTACCATCGTACAAATTTTATGACAAATCTTCATAGTGTGCAGATTCTCAACTCTATTCAAGAGGCTCTAAAAGTTTTAGCATGGAAACATGTTGTTGAGGAAAAAATTCGGCTCTAGAAAATAATAAAACAAGGACACTAACAGAGTTGCCTCATGGAAAAAATCTTATAGGCTACAAATGGATATTCATAATCAAATAGAAAGGAAATAAAAATATAGAGAGATTCAAATCCATAATAGTAGCAAAGGGCTTCACTCAGTTATATGGGATTGACCATCAGGAACCTCTTGTAGTAAATCAGGATTGGCCTTTATACCAAATGGATGTCAAAAATATCTTCTTGAATGGGGACCTTGATGAAGAAATCTACATGACTATATCTCTAGGTTTGGAAAATAGATCGAACAACAGGTTGTTTTGCAAGTTGAAGAAGTCTTTATATGACTTGAAGCAATATCCCCGTACTTGGTTTGGTAGGTTTGCTAAGATTGTGATTATAAATGGATATCACCAATATCAAGCTAATCACATACTATTTGTTAGATCCAATACTAGAGGCAAAATTATTTTTTCTCAAAGTATATGCAAATGTTATTATTTTGATGATTGATGATTCAGAGGAAATTATCAAGCTATAAAAAATGCTTGTAATAGAATTTCAGATCAAAAACTTCGGGAATCTCTGATTTTTTCTAAGAATGGAGGTGTCTCGATCTAAGGAGAGATTTTCATATCTCAAAGAAAGTATATTTTAAACTTATTTTAAGGTAAATTGGTATGCTTGGGTGTAAATCTGCTGACACACTCATGGATTCCAACAAATAATGCTAACAAAAGTGAAGAAAGCAACCATGTTGATAAAGGAAGCCATTAACGACTTGTGGGAAAACTAATTCACCTATCACACACAAGACCTGATATTACATACTCAGTCAGTGCAACAAGTCAACAAATGAATAATTCAAATGAGGATCATTTGGAAGTAATGAACATAATCATGAAATACTTGAAGAAGATTCATGGATATGTTTTACTCTTCAAAAGATCTAAAACCATGAGATTGAGATATACACGAATGCTAGTTGGGCTTGAGAGGTAATTGAAAGGAAATCAACTATTGGATACTATTCACACATTTGAGGCAATCTTGTCACGTGGAGAAGTAAAAAATACATGTTTTTCTCTCAGATTAGTGCGGAATATGAATATAGTGCTCTTAATCTAAGAATATGTGAGAAAATGTGGATTCAAAGGCTATTAAGGAACTTAAAGTTGAGATGAAAGATACAGTTAAGATGTTCATGGAAAGCCAATCAACCATTACTATAATGATACCGAAGTAAACCTAAACCACACCAGAAAAACAAATAATATTACTAAAATAAATAATTGGTTACAACCAACACAATTGAAAGGGAAAATACAATAATACAACATAAGTGAACACCACTAAAGTGTATCCCAAGGGTTGTGAAAGTCGGTTAGGCGAATCAGAATGGCTGGCAAGGGTAGCGGCAACAAAGGAAATCTAGTGGCGGCGAGGGGAAGGTGTAAAAATGTAGAGGCAGCAGTATGGTGGCTGTCTTGGGTGATGGCAGCGAGGAATTGGGGTGGATAGGGGCGGGACAACAAGAAGGATGCGTTCCCTGGCTGTCCTGAGCAGCAGCGGCGCAGTGGGAGGGTTAAGACAACAGGAACAAGGAGCGGTGTGGGTGACAGCAACACCGAAAGGGGGAGGTTGTTTGGAGGCTGGCGCCTGCAGAAAACAGAAATCGAAATACTGTTGTAGGTAGCTGCAACAAGATACTTTGATCAGGAGTGATGTGGGAGAATGCGAAAAGGAGTGGGAAAACAATCACCACCTCGAGAAAGAGATACAGTCGGAGCACACCCAATCCCTCAGATACAACCCTCAAAGGAGAAAACAGACACTGGCGTCTGTTCGAACAAAAATATGAAATAAGGAAAACCAAAAACTGACCCTAACCAAAGCAAGCATCACCTATATACAATGAAGAATAATAGATAGAATATGTAAGGAATATAAATAGAAAAATGATGGAAAATGAAGAAGGTAGACAAGGAAAGTACTATAAAATGAAGGGTTAAACAAGACAAAGAAAAAGAGACTGCAGTACTGTAGTAGCTACAGTAACGCGCCCCCCTGTATTGCAGCAGTTACAGTACTGTATCCCGATAAGCTCCTGTGTCATATAGCCAAAAATCATGTGCAACATGACTGATACTGGAGCTAGTAGAAAAAACAGTGGAAACACACAGAACAAACTTTTATTAATGTAGAGATAGATTTACAACACAACAACACAAAAAAATTTAACACAAAACATACACGACACAAGCTAACATCTCTAAGGTGTAGTCCAAGGGAGGTGGAGATCAGAGAGGTGGATTTGGCGACTTGGGGCAACAAGGGTGAATGCAGAAGAGAGTCGACAGGGGTTGGAAGGTGAACTGGAGGAGAAGCAGCAAGTTAGGGTGGCCAAAAAGGTTTGTTGGGCGTCTAGGAGGTAGGTTTGCAGGTGGAGTAGCAAGTTTGGGAGGTGGTACAGCAATAAGCGGGGAAGTTCAGACAACAATGGGAAAGGTCGTGGGATTGCAACTGATGAGGGAAAACAAAGGCCGAAAAAGCTAACAGCAAGCCGACAACTAAGATGAGTGGAAAAGGGGTTAGGGAAGAAAAAAATGGAAGATACATCACCACCTTAGAGTAGGATATAACTAGTAAAAATACAACAAATAGTGATATTAGTCCTAATTTAAAGTTTTTAGATATCTTTAATGTTCATCTAGAATCTACCAAAAGTTCATTGGTTAAGGATTTCATGGTCTAAAATATTGATTTCGGCGCGAGAAAAATCGAATGATCATAGCAGTAGTGCTAATATCAATGAGAGTCATTTCTGTGGACATATCTAGCCATGCAGGAATATAGGCCTGAATAGGTGAACAAATGGAATTTCAAGAGATACGATAATATGCATTCAAAAGACTAATGGAATTTCAAGAGATACGATAATATGCATTCAAAAGACTAAGAATATAGAGATTCAACCAAAGCTAAGCATATCTACGATTGAGTTGATAAGATTTCAATGGATGCTGAAACCATTTGTTGAAAAACAAATGATTATAAGCATTAAACATAAAAAAGCATGGTTTAGTGGATTAATATATATCAAGCTTCGTTATTTTTTATTAGGCTTGATTAGCTGAGACTATAAAAACATAAGAGAAAAAAACTGACTAGATATCAAACTGTTTATCAAACATTTTAGTTCACTTGCATCCTCTTTAAGATCTTTAAGTTCCCAAGTAAACAAAGATTTAGCCATTCATGTTGATTACTTTGCAATCTTTTCAAAAAAACACTCAGACAATTGTTATCATGAAAAAATAGCTCCTATTAAAAATCATAGAATATATTAGTTATTTTCTACCGGTTCATACCGCCAGGTCAGAATTAACAGACACAACACACACACACATATAAATATTGAACAGGAACCAAGGCTTAATATATTATATAAGAATATACCTTATCCCATGAATGCCCAAGGAATTCATTTACAGCACCAGCATTCTGAGCGTACATCAATGGTGAAATCCAATAACCCCAAATCCACCAGCTTGGAATACTTTCTGTTAAAAGCAAAAAATAAAAAACAGATGAAAACTACAACTGAAGGAATAAAAAAGACCAAGAAGATGCAGTCAGGCACGTAAAAGGCAACCCAAACAAAATGGATATGCATTGACCTCTAGATATGATAAATCCACCAAGAATCATGACAACCAGCATAGCAAAAGATCCAAAGGTGTTAGAAACTATAATATTGCGACCCAAGGCTGCCATTACACGAAAGAGGGCCAAAGACATCTGATGCAAGAAAAAGAGCAATAGGAACTGACTGAAAAATCTGCATGTTAAATCGCTAAGATTATAAACTCATTTATACACCAAATTACAGGGCCCAATCATAATTACTGCAAAAGAAATTGAAAATAATACCTACTAATATGTGGATCAAAGCCGATCACAAAGTATGTCACTGCCACCCACATGGCAGACTCTATGAAAGATGTTGGAATACTAAGGATCCATGAAGGAAGTACATATGTCCATGTAGGGTAAAAATGCAAATCCCTGTGCTTGTAAAGCACTGGAAGCTTTGCAATCAACAATGCAACTTCTGTGAACCCATTGAACAGAATCATAATTGTCGCAAAATATAATGCCCCAAGATAGAAAATACCATCATCAACATTATTGTGATGCATTGTTGACCGGAAAAACACAGTCATCGTAATAAGAGCGACCAGCAGAAGCTGCAAAAACAGCATTGAATAGTTACATTATAGTATAATCAAATTACAAGGCTCACAAGAAACAATTAAGCCAAAAGAAAAATGTATCATTTAATTCTTAAAGAAAGTATATATAGATAGATAGATAGATAGATAGATACATAAAGGATGGCGGGCTGCAGAGCTAGGGTTTCGCCTCATGGCGATTCCCTCCGTATTCCCTCCGTTGAATCTCTCGGCTTCACTCCACCGGCTTCCTCGTGCCCGACGAAGAAGGGTTTCACGTTATCCTTTTCGACTTCCCATCATTCTGCAAGCCCCTGCGATTCTCTTGCTTTGACGACATCCCTCCGTTGAATCTCTCGGCTTCACTCCACCGGCTTCCTCGTGCCCGACGAAGAAGGGTTTCACGTTATCCTTTTCGACTTCCCATCATTCTGCACGCCCCTGCGATTCTCTTGCTTTGATGGAGCGGAGTTACGCCGCTGCTGTGTTTGCGGGTTCAGAGCCTTGTTTTGGTATTGGTAAGTTCTGCATTGTTTTACAATCCTTCCACGAGGCTCTTGAAGGTGGCGGTGATCACACTTTCATTAAAAAGCTTGGTTAAAAAAATGGAAAGTCTGCTCTTATTCTCACTGAGGTTGAAACCAGTACTCTCGCGTCCTTTTAGCGTTTTGCTCTAGTGGGGAAATTCCTCTATGGTCACCCAAAATTTGATATTATTCGGAAAGATTTTGATGCTATGAAGCTATTGGGTAGTTGGAATATTGATTTACTTAACGATCAATATATAATGATTCAGTTATCTCACGATGTCGATTATACTCGTATTTTTCTCAAAAAGTTATCAAAATCGACAACCGTTTTATGAAAATTTTGAAGTAGACTATCTATTTTGATCCAAAAGCGGAGTCCCCTATCATTCCTGTTTGGATAAAAACTTTCGGGGTTAAAATTACTTTTGTTCAACTTGGAAATTCTCTACTCATTAGCAGCTGTTTATGGTAAACCTCTCAAGGTGGATAGTCATACGCTTGTTGTCACCAGACCCTCTGTGGCTTGTGTGTTAGTTGAGAGAGATATCACTCAATCAGTTTCGGATGAGGTATAGATTGACACCACTCACAACGGGTATTGACAAAATATTGAAATAGAACCACACCCTCCTTATTGCTCTCATTGTAGTATGTTTGGCCAAAGTTCTACTATTTGTTATCGCTTGCATTCTCATTTAAGGCTGAATATCGCAAAAGATCAGCCATCTACTTTCCCTGTTGAGAAGGTGTAACCCGATCCTTTTTCCAACACCACAGTTCCTAATGAAGAACACCATACAACATATACAGATCCAAATGTGCTTATACCACTCACTATTATTGAAGAAGATAATCTTAAGGGTGTTGGACCTATTGTAACTTCCCAATAAGGAGGATGACTTAGAGTGGATAAACAATGAGCAATTTTTTGTAGATTTATTTAGAAAGTTTAAGTCTAGAGTTGAAGACCCATTTAGAATTGTTAAGATCAATAATAATACATACGAAATTAATTATGTCGAATGACTATAATAATTTTGCTACCTTTAAAATTGTTACGTTGTTGTCATGGTACAAGTATCTAGAAACATCAGAAAAGAAGAAAAAGCCCCTCCTACCCTGAAAAAGTGATGTAGGAGCATCCCCTCTTATGCGAGATAGATGTGGGAGACAAAACTTCCGTCCCAGGAGTCCCTTAGCGGGAGATCCCCAACTATTTGACTTTGACAGGTCTTTTGGGCCCTATAGTTTGCTTATTTTGAGTTATAATTAGAATTTTATATCTATCCTAATATAAATATATTATGTAGAACCTAGTTTCAGGAACTTTTAGCTTTTAATTTTTGCAATAGAGATTATTTTTCTCTAGTTCTTGACAAAATATTGTATCCTTGGATCTTTCTCAAGTGACGTGTAGGATGGTGATCTCTCCTAGATGTTTGAAAACTTTTTAGGTCACCCACATTGTTGTCTCCCTGCGGTTCTTACTACCAAGCTGCTGTCCAGCCGTCATTTGATATGAATTTCAGCCGACATTACCCCTTTCTCCGCCATTATCCATCCAAGTAATATCCTAACCCATCCCTTGATCTTTCTACACCACTTAGAAATCTTAGACCAAAGTCATTTCCTTTCTCATACTTTCAGAATAACACAACAAGAGCAACATCCTAGCATTTGCAATTTTAAGTTGAGACTACTTCAAGGTATTTTACACGAATGCATGAAGAACCCACATTGTCAATTCCATTTTAAGGGGCATTAGTGTCAGTTTTTTTTTGTTTTTATTTTGTCTTTTATATATTTGAGTTCTTTGTTATCCCTAACGTTAAAATTAATAAAACTTGGATATCAACATTAAATTTCTTCGCAGAGAAATATAATGTCATTGGTAATTCTGAAGATTGAAAGTTTCATCCAAAAAAACCTCGCCTCAGTTAGCCAAGCAAACTCTTCCCTAAGAATAAGAATAGAGATGATCAAATTACAAATAACATGTTATTTCCTCCTTGTAAGGGATTGACTATGACAATCTCCAACCCTGATATAGCCAATTCAGTTATTCCTTCATATAAAGGATTACAAGAGCATAGTCATATCTACCTGAATAAACTTGAAGATGTAAACAAATGAATTCCGTTTCATCAGTAACAGCTGCCAGAGAAAATTTGCCTTGAGAAGCTCAAACCTTTTAACTCCGTAGCTAGAAGTTGATAGAGCAGCAGGATGATTATGTTCTCTGTTATATGGAACTTCCATTTCCTCATTCAATATCTTGCCAATATTTGATGATCTAAAACATGCAGCAAGCTTTGCTACAGGTATAAACTGGTATGGTCTGTCCAAAAAAGACCAGTATTGCTGTTGGTCTTTCTTAGATATAACCTGGATTACCAAATTAAGAATAGAAAACAGATATCATGTAAATTATAGAATACTAAAACACACTGACTACCAAGAAAGAAATGAAATCACTAACCTCTTGCAAGAAGTCAGCCACATTTTTTCGCTCAGGACATCTAAATCCCAAGGCTGCAAAAAAGTCTAAAGCTGCAACACGGGGACCTTGATAAACAATCAGTCCCTCAGATATAAGTACGATATCATCGAATAATTCAAAAGTTTCTGGAGCTGGTTGCAACAAAGATATGATTGTTGTCCCATCAAGAGCTTGGGTTGAATGCTTAAGATATTTGATGATTTGAAAAGTAGTTGAACTGTCAAGCCCTGTAGATATCTCATCCATTAATAGCACTCTAGCTGGACCGACTAGTAATTCACCTGGGTGATCGATAATGCGATTATACCATAACATAAGGTGCAACTTGAGTTGCAGGAAGCAGTGATTAAGAATGAAGAAATGTAAAGGTGTGATCCGAATAAAAAGAAAATCAGAATGTTTTTAAACCTGTGGTAAGACGCTTCTTTTGACCACCGGATATCCCTTTGATCATCTCATCTCCTACCAGTGTATCAGCACAAACATCTAGGCCTAAAATCTTTCATGGGTAAAACTTAGCACTATAGAGAATATTAAGAACTGATTCACAAATGAAAATATTTCCAAAATACATCTAATATATTGAAAATCTAACTAAATGAATGTCAGTAATTCTCAATGATCATTTCACTTTTGTATTACATCTGTAAGACATTCTTTTATAATAAATTAAAACATTTGAGCGATAATTCTGACTAAATTTAAATATTTATTAGTTCGTGCTAATTGATTAATAAACAAAAATTCTATAAGTTTCAGAATATTATCTTGTTTTGATCACCCCGTCAATTAGTATATTTTACATTAAATGAAAAGAAAAATGAGGAAAAAAATAAAAGCTGCCTGCTTCTTCAATAAATACTCTAGCTTAAACAGAATAACATAATTAAAATTTTTTATATGGAAAGTGAATAAAATAAGAGCCTAAAGTTTTTTCTTCTTCATTTTGAGCTAAAAAAAATTATCATATAATAATTGGTTTAAGCATAGTCTTACCAAGAAACTAATGTAGGACTAAGCAGCATGAACAACATGATGATCTCATAAAATAAAATCATCTTCAAGGAAAAATGATATGGATATGAGAGTTTTTAGTTGTAGCACATGCATCTTTCATAAATAGAAAGGAGAAGCTTCATTGTTTAGAAAAAGAAGCAAAATTACCATTAGAGAATGGGATTCCAAAAACCAACAGGATTTCCAAACCACATTGACCCCAACAGGCTTCCACTTAACATGAAAAATGTGCTCTCCCAGCTACTACAGAAGATATTTTTACTTGATTGAGAGAAATCTGTCAAATTCCTTACCATGAAGCTTCAAAGAATGTTTACTCCCCAATTGTAATGAATGAAAATTTTTTTGGAAAATTGACCCTAGGAAAAGTTAAGTTCAAACAAGAAAAGCACAAGACATACAATTTTGAACAAGGGTTGTTTTATTGAATTTACAGATTCTCATTTCACTTTCAACTTTTTTTTATAATTAATTTCAATGGCAGTTTAAAGTACTACACAGAACCAAAACCATGTTGCTTTTGCTTGATTGACTTGAATGTGTGGGTATAGAATCAAAAAGATGATCAATGGAGGCAATATCTCAAGGGACCTATCATATACCTCTAATGAAATGCATAAGATGCATAGCATTTGAGTATCTGCACCTTTTGCTTAAACATCAAGCGGTTGACCGTCATCCAAGATCATGGCAATGGTATTTGTAATATAGCAATATCAAGCTTATTTTGGATTTCAGATAGGGGTTGCATAAGAAATTTAAGCCAACTATCACTGCATAACCCATCAACAGGATTTGCATAATATTCTGCATTTCTATTTTTTATTATTTAAAATACAAACAGGAGGTCTACAGTAAACATTCTGTCTATTATCCCTCTCTTGTTGTAGAGTTTTCTAATTGCTTGTACTGAGATATTTGGGCTTTACTTCTCTTGATATTTAGGTTTAGTTGAATTCATGGAGATTATTTGTAGCTTTTGTGCTTCACATTAGGAGATTAAATATTCCCTGCGCTCCCACTGAATTTAAATCACAGTTTATAAGTATAGTTGATTCCTTTGGATAAAATTTGATTAGTTCAAATAGCCGGTTCCTGATATGATTTTCAAATATAAATGATATTACCCTAATAGACTTCAAAATTAATAAACAGACAACCAAATAAGTGAGCTTTTAATCAATTGGATTTATGCCCATCAAACATTTTTACTAAAATATAAATAGCATATGATTAAAGAACTTTCGTACCTTGATTATATATTCTACTACAAGGTTGGTCTGCTTTCCCTCCAAAGCTAATGCCTAAACTAGAAAAAAAATACTAATCTAAATTAGCCAAAAAATCTAATAATAAATGAAAAGTTTCCATCTGCAACCGCATACCTTCATAAATATATCAAGATCCTCATCAGGCTTAATCCCGGCATTCTTCTCCCTTCTAGAAAGCTCCGTGAGCATATCTGGGGCAAAAATTATGTTCAGCAACATGTTAAAAAAAAAACAATCAATTTTCGATATTATAAATTTTACCATATTTTATTCCCACTCCTTGACATCGACCTGAAAATTCTAACGTTTCTCTGACTGTCATTTCAGCAACATGCCAATCTAGTTGGCTAACATAAGCCGATGTTCTTTGAGGAACAAACTCATCTAAACTGTGTCCGTTGTAAAAAATGTTACCGGACATCTGTCATAAAAAGTAGGTAGTCTAACAACACAAAAAAAAAAAAGTTCATGAAACGAAAAGATGGCAGGTTTAACTTTCTAGAGTCAAATTAATACTTTAACCTTAAATCTTCAACAATATTATGATTATAATCATTTTATGATAAATTATATCAATTTTTGAATAACTTTATACCATTATTACAATAGTATCAATCTAATGATGGACATAAAAAGTATACTATAAATCAATTTCAAGTACAAGTTATAACCAAATAGTAAAATAAATGAAAAGCAAAAGACAATCATATGCTAGTAAGTTCTAGGAAATAACAAGTTTGGATTCATTCAAAAAAAATAAAATTAAGAAAGATTTACATAAATACCACATAGTTCCCATGTATTGACATATCTAAGACAATAACTTCGATTTTTACATTTATAACAATTTGTTTGTGCATGAAAAAGTGTATATCAATCTTAAAAGTTAGAAATATGGAATTTTTATGTGATATTAAATAAAAACATTTAAATTTTGATGTTTGATATGTAAATACATATGAATTGTGTGATATGTATGTAAATGCCCCTAGAAATTAAAATCGCCATTTCGTGAAATTAATTTAAATTAATTGCAATTACAGTTGGAAAATAAATAATTGAATCCTTTGACAGCGAAACATATAGTTTGAAGTTAAATAATAGAAAATAGAATAGAGAGTAGCCAACGAAAAAAAAATAGCTGTCTAAAAAACCATGTTGCTAGGCAAATTTAAATTGTTCATTAATTCAATGGATATATATACCCCTTTTGCTGCTCAAAAATATTATTCTGAACTATTCTCTAACTCTACAATATATATATAACTGCACAGAAAGAATATTGTAGAGTTAGAGAATAGATCAGAATAATATTATTGAGCAGCATAAGGGGTATAAATACATGATACAAAAGATATAGAAACGTAAAGATATAATACCCAAATTTTTCTTAATAATACCGAAAAGATAAAAAGGAAATGCATAAGTTAGGAAATACATATAAAAACAACTTATATAAAATGCAACAAAATAAAATGAAATTGCTTCTAATACTTCCCCTCAACTTGAAACATACAAGTCAATCACGTTCAAGTTGGATTTAAAGTCGTCAAACAACGACCGAGGGAAGTTCATTGTAAGGATATCAGTGAGTTGACCACTGGATGAGACAAATGGAACACAAATCTCCCCATAATCGAGCATCTCCTTGATAAAGTGACGGTCAATCTCTACATGCTTGGTACAATCAAGTTGGATTGAAATATGAGCAATACTAATTGTGTCTTTATTATCACAGAACAACTGCAGAGGAGCAGAGACCAGCATATGAAATTTATGGAGCATGATACATAGCCAAAGCGTGTCACAAATTTTCAAGGACATAGAACAAAATCCAGATTCTGTACTGATTCGAGCGACCACTAATTGTTTTGCTTCCCCTACATGAATTGGCAATACCCCGAGGTAGATCGTCGATCATGAACAAATCCTGCCCAATCAGCGCCAGTATGAACTTCAATAAAACGAGGTGTGGCACGAGAACAACAAACCTAACCTTGGTGTGTCTTTTAAGCAGTGGAGGATCCGATGGACATCTATGAGATGCCGCTCATAGGGGTCATGCATTAACTGACTTAGAATACCTACCGAGTGACAAATATCGTATGGGCAAGTTAAATGAGTTTCCCAACAAGGTACTGGTAGTGTGTCTTGTTCACAGGAACATATTGGAAACATCAGTCAATTTCCCATTGAGGTTCATTGGAACTATTTGTTGGCAAAGTAGAAGATTAGAATTTGTCAATAGGACCATCACCTATTTGCATTGGGAAAGGAAAATGCCCCGAGAGGATCAAGCAACTTGCATGCCTAAGAAGTATGAGAGAGAATACAAGTTCATAGGATGCGACCATGATGTCATTAAGAGATTCCAAGGTTAGCAGATCATTACCTATGAGCGCAATGTCATCGAAATAGACGATAACAATGGCAATTTGGCCTGAAGGAATGCCGAAAGAAGAGAAATGATCTAATTGGGCATGAAAAACTCATGGCCCACTAACAACTGTGTAAACTTGTTGAACCATGCTCAAGGGGATTGCATCAATCCATAGAAGTACTTTCGCAATCGACGCACCTGTCCCTGGGAAAAAGTAGAGTCGAAGACTGGAGGTAGAGACATGTACATCTCCTTTGTGAGGTCGCCGTTCAAAAAGACATTCTTGCTATCCAGTTGAATGGCCCGACTGAAGAGAAACTTCAGTATGGTGAGGGGAAATAGGACTCGAATATTCAGTTTAGCAACCATAGCAAACGTCTCCTCATAGTCAACTCCATAGATTTGTGAGTAGCCTTTGGTGACCAATCGTGTTTTGCTACATTCAAAGATTCCATTGGAGTTAAATTTGGTGTTGAAGATCCATCAGCAATCAATTGCTTTCTTTCCCTGAGAAAAATTCACATCTCACTTATGATTTCACCGAAGGGCATTTAACTCATCCATTACTGCAGCCTTACAAGTAGGAAGACAAGCATCCATCAAGGAAGTGGAAAAAGCTTTGTAGGTAAGCGAGAAGCTCTGAAATGAGACATATTTTGTCATGGAATAAAGAGAGCAAGACTGATTGCATACCACAATGGTAGAACTCACCTCATCATTTTGAGCAAGAGTAATCTCCACAAGTGTAGTGTCAGGGATATCATTCGGAGCACATTCAAAGCCTGCAAAGAGGCAGCGGGCTCAAAAGTAGGCGTATTGGGACGGGTCTCAACCGAGGATTTGATGTGCCAATTATAGACATGGAGAGTGATTGGAAGAGATGTCGGTCGGGTAAATCAATCCAATGTGGCAAATGAATCCTCGAGTACAGTGGCTAGAGAAGCAGGTGGCATATCCAACAGAGTTGGGAAAAGAGTAGCGTCCAAGGTATCTAGCTCCCCCTCACTTGAGGCATTGATGGGGAAGTAATGAATACTTTTAAATAAGGAGACATCAGCACTCACATAGAGTTTATTTGCAATAAGATAGAGGCACCAATCGCCCTTTTGAGCGACAATTTTTTAGGAAATGCACTTGATTGAACGACTATCAAGTTTACCATGAGTTGGGGCAATGTTTCGAATAAAAGTCGTGCACCCAAATATTTTGGGGTCTAAAGAGAAGAACCGAATGGTAGGAAAACACGACCTAAAGACTGCTAATAGGTTCGTAATTTGTGAATTTTTGTGGGAACTCTATTAATGAGATATGTGGCGGAAAGTACGTCATCATTCCAAAACCATTTCGAGATATTTGATTGAAACATAATAGAATGAGCAATATCGAGAAAGTGACGGTTTTTTCACTCGGCTGCCCATTTTGTTAAGGAGTATCTGTATAGAAGCAGTGATGGAGAATGCCCTTACCAAAAAAAAATCCCCTAATATAGAGTTAAAAATTTAACAGTCGTTGTCAGTCCAAAGGACTTGAATTGATGTTTTAAATTAGATCAAAATGTAGAAATAAAAATTGTTAAGGTGCCAGCAGCTTAAGTTTTTCTTTTAAGATATAAATCGACGTCATTTGAGTGTGATTATCAATCAAAATAAGAAACCACCATTTATTGGTAAATTAGGCGTTCGAGAGAGTCCCCACAAGTCACTATAAAGTAGTGAAGGAGTGAAAGGAGTGTAAGAGCGTGGTGGATATGGTTCTCGATAATGTTTGGCTAACTGACAAATCTCACATTTAAAACTAGATAAATTTTTATTTGTAAACATCAAAGGATATAAATGTTTTAAATATTGAAAACTGAGATGGGGCCCAAATGACAGTGTAAAAGCATTAATAGGGCATTCAGTTTATTAGGAAAGATTAAAACTACTGAATGGAGTGACCTCATGAACACTTCTTTTGCCTTGAAAAAAAGTAGAGCTCTACTACCCGCTTAGCAGTTTCAATCATCCTCCCCGAATAACTATCCTGAAAAACACACATATCAAGAGAAAAATGAGTAACACAATCAAGGTCATATGTCAACTTACTGACTGACAAGAGAATACATTTTATCGAAGCTAAATGTAACACAGATTCTAGAGTAACGTTGTTGTTAGAACAACAGACTCTTTACCAACAATGAAACTATATGAGCCATAAATAATTTTAATGGTAATTCTCCCAGAGCTAGAAAAATATGTGACAACATCCAGTCATATGGTTCGTGGTATCTGAATCAATAATCCACGAATTAGAAGAAACAAAAAGAGCATGACATCAAAATGTTACCTTGACAAATATGGAAGGTCGACGGGCCCGAGGAAATCTGACTAAATCCAAGTAGTTTGATCAAGTCTCCCTCTGACTTTTAATGGAGTTTGGTGAATCTGGGATGTTCCCAGTGGAGCTGACTGAACTGTCATGGCTTTTGAGGTCGTAGCGAGACCCTTAGCGGTGAGTATTTAGTCGAAGGTTTATTTGTCGATTTTCTATGAATCTTTCAACTTGTCATGGGTATGATAGAGTTTGTGACAGTAATCACAATTGGAGTGATTTACTCGTGATAACATGAAGGAGGGTTGAGCAATATTAGAGACCAAGGTGGGCAATTCAGCTGAAGGAGTGGAAGTGTCGAGCATGACAAGTCTCCGGCTTTTTTTTTGCGACGTACCTTGGTGAATGCAGCACGAGTTGAAGGAGATCCCGACGACGAATTTGACCCCCAAACTTCGTCGAGATCCTTTTTTAGACCCATCATAAATTGGAGCACACGATCATTTTCCATAATTTTGTATAAAAGGGGAAGATCAATAGGAGAGTCTCATGTATAGTCATAGTAGAGATCGCATTCCATCCATAAGGCCACCAAGTCATTGCAGTACTGGGTCACAGTCTTCTATCTTTTTTTTGCCTCATGGATCTTTTTGAAAACCTCATAATGTTGGGAGTCGGTTGTATTGTCGTGGCTTCTGAGGTCGTAGCGAGACCCTTAGTAGTGAAAGATT